CGTCGGTTTACCACAGTATACTGGATATTGATTCTCATAAACTTGGGTATCGTGTTGTGTTTCATTTACCTAGGTACAGGGGGATGTTGTTTTTCATTTACCCGGGCTCACTGTGGATTGTTTTCATGTACCTGGGTTCATTTGGAATTGTTTTTGCATTCATCCGGGTACACTGCAGGGTTAGTTCTCATTTATCTGGGCACACTGTGGGTTGTTTCTCATATACCTGGTGGGTACACGGAGATTGTTTCTCATATACCTGGGCACACTAGAGGATTATTTCTCATTGACCTGGGTATACTGTGAGGGTTGCTTCTCATCTACATAGGCATGGAGGGGGTTCTTATTTACCTCAGTGAACTGTAGGATTTATCATGTCTCATTTATCTGGCTACACTAAGAATTGTTTCTCGTTTACCACAGTATACTGGGTATTTCTCATTTACCTGGGTTCAGTGAAGGATTGTTTCTCATTAACTTGGCTATAGGGAGTGTTGTGTTTCATTTACTTTTGTACAGGGGGATTGTTTCATTTTCCTGGATACAGGGATCTTGTTTTTCATTTACCTGGGTATATTGGGGATTATTTTTCATTTAATACCTGGGTACACAGAGTTCGCTGGGGGAATGTTTCCCATTTACAAGGGAGTGCCGTTTTGTTTTTACCTTGGTACGGATTTTTTTTTTTAATTTACATTGCCAGGGTTAATTAAAGCATATTATGTAGATGGGGGAAATTAGGTTGACCTTGCCCATTATTTCGAATTAAATTAAAACAGCCAGTGTATAAGTGTCCCTGACGGGACATCGGTAGTTGCTCACAGTACACCCCCCTCTGTCCCTCGGTTTTTCCTATATACACTTGTATAATACTATATGGTTGTTTGCATTCTGGATTGTCGAAAATTAAAAGTATTTTTTAATTTTTCTGTATTTAATGAGAAAAGAAATATGAGATTGTATTTTTCATATTTCCTTGTACGTTGGGAATTGGTGACGGTTTTCACACGTGACACTTCGGCACACTTGATAGTGTCGATTTTCATATATACGGATACACCGTGATTTTCTTTTCATATACTTGGGTACACTTGAGAGGGGGTTGTTTTTCATATTCTTGGCCAGATGTAGTTGGTTACTATGAGTAGTACATGGGGAATTGTTTTTCACATACCTGGAAGCACTGGGACCGTTTGTTATATTTCCAAGTACATCGCTCAAGGACTGTTTCTCAAGCACCCAAGTACATTTGTACACCGAGGGATTATTTCTTATGTACGTAAACTGCACCCGCACCACCATGATACATGACTCGACTAGTGATATGCCATGACGTATGGGATTTGTGTAAGCTGTAATAATTTTTTTTTTTATTTTCGTAATAATGTAATTTAAATAAATAATGTACGTAAATTCGTAGAGGTGGGCAAGGTGTGAAATGTAATCAGCTATTTTATTCGTCCGTAATTTGTACAAAGATCTTATTTTTGTAAGCGTATAAAGCATTCTCCAAATTAAATGTCGTAATTCGTACCAATTTCCAATTTTGATACACAAACATAAATTATCAAAAAACTGATAAAAATGTAATTAGGAATTTGCATTATCTGTAAAGTGTAAAAACCTTTTTTTGCTGTAAATGAACTTTCATTTTATTTCCTGTAAAAACGTAAAATACCGTTTTTATTTCCTGTAACCTGTACCAGCTACCCCTTGCCCCCTCCGTATTTGCACGTGTAACTCATTTAAGTGCAAATCATAAGAAGTAGACTCTGCGTAACGACCAAATGTGTGCTATCTCGTAGTGAGAAGTACGAATCAGTCTAAATCAGTCTCTGAAAAGCTTTCAAACATACTGTTTAGATTCAATATATGATGATAATAAGGGAACAAAACATCAGAATAAACTCCGCACATACAGACATCTAAAAACAAAATCCACTTTTGAACAATATTTAGAAACAGTGCAAAATCCGAGTCCCTTCCACAGGCCATCCATGACCAAACTAAGAATTAGTGTTCATGCGTTAGGAATAGAAACTGGAAGACATAAAAACATTGACATTTCAAAAAGAAAATGTCAGTTTTGTCAATTAAACGAAAATTGTATGCTACCTCCCAAACTTCCTGACAAAGAAAAAATAGTTGCAATACTAAACAATAGTAGTAAAAAATTAGCTCCTCAAATTGCTAAGTACATACATGATTGTTTTAAAATCCGAGAGAACAACTTGAAAAAAATACTACCAGCTGCCTCAAAATGAATAAAAACAATTACTTTAATTCTTATTATATTTTATTAAATAAATAACTTTATTATTATTATTATTATTATTATTATTATTATTATTATTATTAATAATAATAATAATAATAATAATAATAATAATAATATATATTATATATTATTATTATTATTATTGTTATTATATTATTAAAGTAAAGTCCTCGCGTTATATTGGGCTGTAGTGTGTCGGGGTACGGGTGAGTTGTCGGGTAAATTGATACTATCAAATTGCAATCATATTTAAATCAATGAACGAATGAATGGGTTAAATAGCTAAACAAATTAATATGTAAATTTATAAAATAAAATAAAAATAGTTAGACGGAAAAGTATTGCTTCCCAGGAAGTTACATTTGTTGTGGTTGAAAAGCGCGAAGGAACACCTTGCCGCCCCCTCCCACTTTTCCCAACATGCTAAGCGATTCCTCTTCTGTGCGCATGCTCCATGCAGCCAAAATATTGTGGTTGGATTTTTTTTCTACTCCCGGCAGGTTGTTGGGCGAAAAAAAACGCCAAAATTGACGATCGAGAAACTTAACAGGTTTGATCGACCAGCTGCAAGTAAAGGACAATGTTAAACCCATCGTCCAGCGAAGAGGAATCGGACACTGAAACAGTGGAGGATGAAACAACCGACACTTTATCTGTGCCGAGTCAGACAGGTACCATCCGCAATAGTGCATCGAGTAACGACAGTCTACAGGCGCAGACAAGAGGTCAGACCATTGCCCGTCCGGCCAGTCCTAGTCCATCTGTGATCAGTGAAAAGGAACGAGAAGAAACAGAACGACTGGAGAAAGAAGAGGAAGATAGAAAGAAACGCCTGCAATTGTACGTATTTGTCGCGAGATGCATTGCTTATCCATTCAACGCCAAACAGCCGACGGATATGGCAAGGAGGCAAACCAAAGTGACCAAACAGCAACTCGAAACCATCAAGGAGAGATTTCGGGCATTTATAAACGGGGAAACGCAAATTGTCGCTGATGAGGCGTTCTGTAACGCGGTGCAGAGTTACTTCGAGGTGTTTCTGAAGAGCGACAGGGTTGCTATGATGGTTCAGAGCGGGGGCTGCTCATCCAATGATTTCAGGGAAGTCTTCAAAAATAACATTGAGAAGCGGGTCAGAAGCTTACCCGAGATTGATGGCCTGAGCAAAGAAACCGTGCTCAGTTCATGGATGTCAAAGTTCGATTCCATTTATAGGGGGGAGGAAGATCAACGCAGACAACCCCAAAGGTTGGCAGCCACTGCTGCCTCGGAGCTTATTCTCAGCAAGGAACAATTGTACGAGATGTTCCAAAATATTCTCGGAGTTAAGAAGTTTGAACATCAATTGCTGTACAATGCATGTCAGGTTGGTACATTCTTACTTTTTTTTTATTGACATTGTGTCCAAATTACTTAGATTGAAACAGAAAATCAATTACGTTAATTAATTTTAAATAAAAATAATTCTAAGTACAATGTAGTCCGAACGCAGTCAATGGTAGTAAATGTGTTATTCATTTATTTCCTAAACTTTTGTTTGAATCAGATTTAAATTATTCATGAAACTAGAACTGTACAATAATGCCCAAAAATGCAAACAATAAAAGAAACAAAATAATAAATTTATTCTGAATATTGAAAAAAAAGAAGCTATTTTGAAATGCAATTTGTCAATATTCTGTATGACTATTGAATAGTTTTTGTTATATCGGAAATATTCTTTCCTATGTTGAATTTCAAGTTATTTGAATTTCCTTTTTGCTAAAGAAGAAAAGAACAAGAATAAATCCTGGTTGTGCATTTCCCTCCAAGCCCCCAGCCTGTCTCTTTTGCATACCATGATCAATCATATGGAAGCAAGAAATGAAAATGGCAGTTTATGAGAAATTACTATGCGTATGTCAGAATAATGTGACGAAGATAATAAAAGAAAAAAAAAGGGTGGGCAGTCAATGTTGGAGAATAATTGCATTCGATGTTCAGTTTTAGTAGAAATAGCCGTGACGTGTCTCACGTAGGCACTTAGCTGTTAAAAAATAAATTATGAACTCACTATGATATGATAAATTAATATTTATTAAGTATGTAGATACAATGAAATTTATTCATCGTCAAACCCTGTCAAAACTCTGAGACGACCCAGGTGTGCTTACTACATTCCTTAACATGATATCAATAATTAATAAGTTCAAAAAAAGAAAAAAAAAGAAAGAGCAGTCTTTAGGTTCTACCTGCAAATAATGACATTTGCTGAAATACGCATTAAATGTAAAAAAAAAAAAAAAATTAAATACATATGACACAAAGTATTACTTAATTTTGCCATGACATTTGCATGCTGTTAAAATATTGATTACATCACCAAAACCAACCCCAAAACGTATAAAATACAAGTCATCCCTCTAGCATTGGTTACTTTGGACCAGTATGCGCTTCTTTTTTTCCTCCCAAATTAATTACATGTAACATGGGATCTAATTACGTCTGCGAAACATCATTTTTGCAATATTGTGAAATTGAATTAAATTAGTTACACCTGGCAGATTGGGTGTGATGCATCTCGTCCATTTGAAATGTGCACCCATACCCGTGTTTGATTAAGTGTCTTAACGAGAGGAATTAAAATAGAACAAGGGAGACAGTAAATTGACTTTTAAATCATTAAAATAAAAGCAGTTGAAATAACCGTTGTTTTTGTTTAAATTTTGTGGGGGACCTTAGAAACTAATTCTCAATATCACCGGACAACATATGTTTACAAGATATTTTTATTATTTCACAGTGTAGTGGGCTGAATAATTCAGTATGTTTTTTGTTGCCTGCGTACTATGTAGTCAATTTTGCTTTCAATTTGTATGTCACACCTATTGAAGCTGTAACGTCCGTGTCCTCAGTATTTTTCAAGGTCAGCGTTTTCTGATTAATAGATGGATCGTCATATGTACATTGACTGTTATTACGATAAATTGAGTCCAATTCTTTTAATCCCATGAACATCGTTATTTTTCCGGCCAGAATTTTGTGGTAATTTGCAATATTTTTTTTTGTATTTTTTGATAATTTTCTTTGTAAACTTTTAGAGCAAATAAAACATAATTTCTCATCAACACGTTTTAAATAAAAAAAAGACATGGCAAAAAATATGCAGTGAATTCTTTAGAAACTGTGACTAAAATTGACTTTGGTTCATGAGGGATTTACCTTCATCTGTATCGATCAGTCAAGTAATTGAGGCAATGTCAAGTTCAGTGTCGAGGAGAGATTGATTGAAGTAGATTTATTAATTTAAAGATTGAGATGTTTTTCATATACATGTTTTAAAGATTGGGTAATTAGCACTTTGTTATATTAAATTTCTGTACCAATGGCTTTCATGTAATATATCCTGAATGTTATTTCATTGGAGTTTAATAGTACTACTGCATCCAACCTGGGTCATCCGTAAATAGCTTCAACTATTTTCAGATTTTATCTTGTTTACTGACTGAACTGTTTAAGTCTGCACAGGATTGTAATTTTCCCTAAAGCAACTTACAACATTACTATAGACCTTTATAGGTTTTACGCTATGGTTTGGATAAAGATGCTGGGTCCCCTCTATTTAAAAAAAAAAAAAATTGCACAAAGAATGCATGTTTTTGATTTTTTTTTGAAAACTAGATGGTTTTGAAATGGATTGAGTACATACTCTGCTGGATCGTCTTGTCTAATATTGCTTCGTTTTGAGACTTTCAACTGCTGTGATGATACTGTATATTATTTGATTTAAAAAAAAAAATGAAAAAAATCATTTTATTCATTTTATAGAAATTTCTGGTTACATGGCTAATTAGCTGTTGTGTAAAATAGCCTAGCTTTTCACGTTTTTGTAGCTTTTCACGTTTTTGTTGTCAAAATTTGGAATTTACTTGTAGTGCGAATCCTAAATAGGCCTGCTTTTCAAGTCTTCACATTGTAGCCTTGGGGGAGTTTAATGTAGTATCTAACCTGTGTTGTTTATTGGGTTTGTATTTACATTTTAGTCTTTTTTTCACGCGTTATATATGTCATATGGGATCTGGACTCATAAACTGACAAAGAGCACCACCTTTTTAAAAACGAAGTCTTGACATAGATGCATATGGAGTGTCCCACTCAATGAGAATACACACCATACATGTTTAATAGATGGCTTCTCTAGCATAAGCCTGCGTTGATAGACCAGCTATGACAACAATTTGACAAAATTATATTATCAATACTAAAGTACTTAAGATACGCCCATATGACAGTGCGTGTGATGTTAGTAAATACACAAACAATAGGACATCCTCTGTTGTGACGATTAGTTGTCATGTGCATGTACTAATTAAAACCATTATTAAATCCAACATAATTATCCTAAATAGGAAATATACACAATAATACAACCCATTCCTGATTCCTTGGATAAAAGCTTGGTACTTTACCATGTCATGCTAGAAAAAGTTTACGTCAATGCAAATTGTGCCCGGTAATTAAAAAGATAAAGATAAGGTTGACCATATATTGTCTCATTTTGTGTACTTTTTCTTTGCGGCAGTACCGATATTAGCTAATTAACATTTCTGGGCCATGTATAATGCCATAATGATATACATGCGTATAAACTTGTTGGAAAATGGAGCTAATTTCTTTTCACTATTCAGCATGTTTTGAGTTTAACAACATATACAGGCTTATAGCAACCTAAACTGACTTGATATTTGACACACATAACATGCCCACCTACGTTGAAATAAGCTAAGCTGTTATATACAATCGACCAAGCACTAAAATTCAGTTCAAGACGTCAATACACTTAAACACTTTTTGCAAATGGTCGTAGGTGTCGTATTAAGCCTCTTTACACTAGTGTAACATGTTCTCATCTGTTTTTACGCCGGCATAACTATTATGGAATATTTACGCCAGTGTTGATACCCCCTTCAAGGAGGGTTTAAACTCTGCTATTTTTTAATATGTTGTTGTAGTAACATGTTCACAGATTTTTTGCTCTAAAGACACACAAAAAGCAGTTGTGAACACGATGCTTTTTATTTGATTCTGTATTTAAATATTGTAGGTGCTTATAGATTTAATTATTTGTTTCTTTTGGAATATTGAATTCAGCAATAGTTGTTACTAACTCCCAAACTTTGTTTACACTCCCCCCCAGGACTTTTTAGCTTATTGATCTATTATTGTTGTTTTAACAAAATTGATTAAATAGATTTTATTGTTGCATATGCATATTCCAAAAATGTTTATGCGTCGCCACATTTCTGTTTTTCGCGGGACTCATGCTCTCTTTTTGCGTACATTCGAACAAGCAGAGTATTGTGGTGAGGTCATTTGTAACATTTCTTGTAAATCTCGTAAATTGACCCTCAATGCGTTAATGGGGTGTTTTTTTTTTTTTGTCTGAGAACAACATACATAGATGTTTAGTGGCTCCTTTTGTCTGTGCCACTAAATAGCCCGCTTGTCAGAGAAATAAGTAGTCTGCCCCATTGAAGACTGTAATCAAACTTCAATGGTTATTATGAAATACACATCGTGTGTGTTTTTTATTTTGGGTCATGTTCTTGCATGCATTGCTTTGTCTTACTGTGATGTGGCTGCATCAGAGCAGTTGCCACTCTTCAAAAGTTTGCTTTATTGCTTATTGAAACACGTTTCTCAAAAAAAAATGAATTTGGTTACGAGAAAATACAATCACAACCTACAAAGGGCAACAACCATAAAATAATTGACCACAAAAGTCACAGAACTAAATAATATCTCATTTCACAAATAAATAGAACTGAAAAAAAAAAAAACATCTGTGGAGTACATCCTTTTTAGAACTTTATTCTAATCTCTTTTTCCAGATTACAGAGAATTATTCTGAGCCGCTCTTGCCTGTATGCTTTAGAAACTTTAATAATTATAAACTATAGCCTCTCGCTAAAATACCGGTACAATCAATTTGGTGAAACAAAAATGGAATAATTTTTACACTGTTGAAACCTTCAATAAAAAAAAATTCATTATTATTTAGAAAAATTCACAACTGCATTTTAAAATTATTTTAAAAGTAATCATATTAGAGTGATCGTATAAATGTAAGTCGACTCTATACATAGTTGAATTAACATTCTTAATGGAATTAATACATACCAAATTGTTTATGATAAGACTATTCGCTATCATTAATGCTGTGTTGATTTTCTTTGTTCTGCAGCTGAAATCCCTTCAAAACGTTCCCAGTGACGCACCTCATTTCGTATCATATGTACGTCTTGTAATATAGTTTACATATTTAGAATGTAGGTTAAATGGCGGTGGTCGTCTCGCTGCTTCATGTTCGATATGGCGTATACACCA